AGACCCGTTTCACTGACCTCGAGAAGACACAAGCATAGTCACACACACTATGTACAAAATATCAGCTCAAAAGAGGGTGAAATACGGCAAGGATTCATAAGGGAAAAAAGGCTTCTAAGCAGTGGCCCTCAAAAGGTACCGGGTTGGAACAAGGGAACGACCAAGTTCTGTCGGTTTGTCACACCAACACCACGGAAACACCCTTGTGTAAATCCAGTCGTCATTGACAGCGTCGCGATAAAGTGCAAGTGCAAGTGCATCGTGACTCGATTACTCATTCGGACGGAGGTAGTACCACAATACGGTCCCCAGGACAAAGTTATCAAGCGCGTGCACGTATTTCGCCAATTCTCGATCAACCTCAGTGTCAAAGGACGAGGGTCGGTTCTTCAACTCGACGTACTGGACCAACTTCGCATTCATGCGCGATGCAAAACACTAGGTTTTGGAAATTGCCGTCAGCCTGTTCTTTCTGTAATAACACGAAATGCATCAGAGTCAGCGCGCGGATCGGAGGTAACCCATATCAAAACGAAACGAACATTGAACGTTAGGCCACGTTATAAGGTCATTAGCTGCATCACACAATTTTCACGGTGGGTTTTCGAAGACTTCGTTCGGAAGATCCAAGTCGAGCGAGTGCTCAATCATCGCTGTGGAAGCCGTGTCAATCAATAAGTCGAGGGACATGCGGATGCCCGAAGCTTGCACAAGGCGGACGCCGATGGTGCAACGCCGCGTGACAATACATTCGTCCACATTAGGCATGGAGTCCTGGGACCGCTTCAGGGACTGTCTAACTTGTGCATTACATTGCATGTGAAAATGTCATATACACTACTTGTGAGCGCCTTCGGTACAGGTTTCACGCATACGAGCAAGAACACTAGATTTTTCCATAAATTCATATAGTGACGGTGATCAAGAATTACCTACTCGTATAACATGACAGCAAAGGAATGATCTGGGCGAGGCCCGTTAGGGCTAGCAACGACGCTCATGGACACAATGGATGAAAAAGAAAAAGAAAAGACACTAAATTATTGTTGACACTCCATTAGCATGTCTCGTTGCAGTGCGAGGCGGTCTCGGCGCGCCGCCATGGCCTCTCCAACGTTCGGAATATATCAATCGGTTGTTTTCTGACGTCCATCGTGACAGACACTTGGATTTTAGGTGACGTACTCTGCGAAATGTCTACACCATTTTCGACATTGGCTGCCGACTACGTGTCGGCTTCGCTGATCTTGCATGACGTTGTCTTTCGTAGCAAGTTATCTATTCTTGCATGTTAGCTCATGAATTCTGAGTTTTTTGATTGCAGGTCCAGCTGTTAATGGACTTGGAGATGCCCCATCCATCGGTGAAAAACCAAAGCCACCACCCGAGAAAAAGAGCCACCCTTCAATATTTCAACAACGGATCGAGATTCTTGACTGGCCCATCGGGACAATAAGGCGACGCAACAACGTATATGTATAGTCTACTTTCAATGATAATACACTGGCGGTACTAATAGGCTGATACGTAGATGTTATCCTTTCGAATGCCATTTGTCCGTCCACTTTTGCCTTCCCTCGGAAGCCCATACTCTGTCATAACCCATATTCCAAGCCCTATCCCGAACGGTATGGGTTATAGCATCAGCAAACTGTCCCTTGGGCTAATTTAATCACTTTCGACACTTTTTCTCAGCGGCTAAGAGCGCCGAGTCCGGCGAACTTAGGCCGTGGGCAAATTGCTGATCGGCGCCATATATCAGAAGCTACTGTAGTAACACCATAAGGTCAGACTATTTCCCCCGATCACTAATGAGATCAAGTCACCTGAGATGCATTCCCGTATTTATGATGAATATGACCTGACTGCGCAGACGAAGTTAACCATGTCCGAGTCCATCCCATCCACAAAGACACTTGATCACATCGTACATCTTACGCCACCTGGCACGGTGCGTCAGGTATCACGACAGTTTAAAGATCTCGGATTCAAGTTGGCGCTTCCCGTTCTGTTGTCTGCCTGAATGACTCATTCCTCTCATACAGCGTCATAGCCGGCGGGAAACATACGGGAGGACTCACAGAGAACTGCCTCGTGGTAGGACTGCAGTTACCGCACGAATCGGTTGTGTTACTTGCTAAGATTCTGCTATCTGATTCTTTATCAGATCCTCGCAGACGGCGCCTATCTCGAACTCATCAGCTTCACCCACCCCGCTTCGCATTACCCACCTGGCTCTCCTGATCGTCAACGACGAGACGATAACCAGTGGGCCCATAAAGATCCAGGATGGATCGACTTTGCATTTCACGGATCCGTCATCACCTCGATCTCGCGCGTCATAAATGAACGTGCAGAACGAGAACATAGCGGGATCTGTTACAGCCCTGAGACGCACGGCGGGCGTACGCGCACGGATGGACGGGTACTCAAGTGGGTTCTTAGCACCACGAAGGACGATTACTTTCGTGGTACCGTCCCGTTCTTTTGTGGGGATGTGACGCCCTGGGAATGGAGGGTGCGCTTACCTTCCCTTTCCCCTCTTGTCGTTCTCCTATACTCCTGTATTAGGTTCCCGTGGACCCACCGTCGAATGTGATTCATCCCTCGGGCGTCCAGGGGGTCGCGTATGTCCGTGTGTTAGCGGGGCCGGAATCCTTGTGAATGTTTCTGCGAAACTTATGTCAGTCCTCGGGGAGCCTCCACAACACGACACTGCGAACTCAGAATACACTTGGACGTTGGAGGTGCATTTAGGCGCAGTGAACATGAAGAAACCACGTCTAATCCTGAGTGCACCAAAGGATGATGAAGAGCGAGATCACTTGAATACAAGGGGTCCGGGTATCTTTGAAGTTGGGTTTTCACTTGGTCGTTGTGGAGTTGAGAGGGAATCAAAAACCCCGTACGGAAAGATTGTTTTTGTGAAATCTATGTAACATTGTATATGGATCTATCGTAAGCTGCAATCACACTGAAGCTATGATCATCCCGAGCCCACTGGCACGTCGTCGACTCCATATGGGAAGTGGTGCTGACTATAAGGAGTACGAGCCTGAGAGTGAAGGCCACTGAAGGGGAAAGGGGGAAGGAGATGGCCGAGGCTCAGAAGTTGATAGAACCCACTCGGCATTAGATAGGGCACTGGGGGTCTCGAAGCTGAGGACTGATTGTTCGCTTCGTACCACGACTGTGACAATGTACCCAGTTGTGTCTGTACTCAACAGTAGGCCACTTCTGTTTTTTGTTCTTCATCACTTTCAGCTCGGTATTCGCCGGGCCGGTTCCGCAAAATCCCAAAGGTCGCAGGACACAACACCACACCATCACATAGGTTAGCTACTAGTTCTAGCCCCACCCAGTACTGCCAAGCTGGTGGCAACCCCTGTGGTTCTCCTTCAAGCTCACCCTCTACTTTGTCCAGCTGCTTTCCGGCTTTAGATTTTCAAATGCCATCAGATGCCCCTGACTCGCTGGATGGTTGGTGGTGTCCCATGGATACCGAGTATGCGTTTATGGGATTCAGTTACGAGATTACTGCATGTAAGTCTTGGTCACCTTGCGCTCTTAGCCTCTACCTGCCGCGAACTGACGTCACGTCAGGCCAGAGCCCCGATCAGCTCAATGCAGAATTTGCTGATATCAAGAAAAGCTTCAATAGCCGGTATGTCCGCCTTTATGGCGCGTGTGACAAGCCTGGGTTTTAGTGCGTGCACTTCATGAATGTGCCCACCTTGTCCCCCCTGACTTATATGGGTAGCGATGACGTAGTGGATGCGGCATGGAACAATAGCCTCGGAGTTCACGCACTGATATGGGTAACTTGCTGTCATTTTTCTGGGATCTGCTTTGTAGCTTACAATTTATAGTTTGGTTTCGAATGGTGGTAATGAGTGGAAAAGCACGTCGTGATTCGCTCATCCATACCCTCAACACCAATCCCTAAAGCCAAGTTTATCACGCGTGGGGTGCAGTTCGGCTCCGAGCCCTTGTTTGACGATGTCCTTCCTCACTCTGAGCTCGCATTGCAAGTAAGATCTGCCAAAGCACGGCTTGCACGTGTGCAAATCCCCGTCACGGTTTCCGAACTCGCTTATGGCTATCAGGAACGTGGCGGTGCTCAAGATGTCCTTGATGCAATTGACTACATTAATATCCATATGCTTCCATTCTTCTCGTCAGTTGCTAGCGATGGGGCGCATGCATGGCCGATCGTGATGAATGACACGAATTGGTTTATCAAGCATGGTAGGGGAAAGAAGATGTACTATGACGAGGCAGGACTTTCGAAACATCGGTGCTCTTCCGTTCTTGATCTTTCATTAGAATGGTTGGCCCTCCGTCACATCTCCGAGCGTTCAAAACAATAGTGTGAATGCAGTCGCTAGCGTCCAGAGCGAGCAGGTGTGTTTCGGGTTCCGACCACCACTGCATAAGTTAATGCACCCTAATGTGCCCAGGAATACTACGAATTACTTGACGAGCACTGCATTTACTTCAAGTACGCGCTTGGTGGGGGCATCGGGTGGTTTGCACACATTTACTCCGACAATCAAGAGCCTGGATACGGGATCTACAACGCGAATGGCACCAAGAAGTTCAACTTCCAGCCTCGTACGTCATGCTAGCCGGCGAGGGCGTCCCATCACTGCGAATTTTTTGGAATTGGTATCTGCACTCTGCACGAGATCTCAGACTCTGATTTCTTGGATAATATCGGAATAGGCAATATTATGGGCTGGAATCTCAACTGTACTGACACTTTGTTACAGTACATGCATGTATATGTATATGTATATCGACTCGCAGACCAATTTAAGTAAAAGCAGAGCAATCAAAACTTCAAGTTGCTAAAAGTACATTCTCAGTTGGGGCAGGGAAGCGATGAGCTTTGTGGCGAATAGGTCTGTTGTGCATTTCCATTTGAAAGTCTGGAGCTTGAAGCTTGAAGCTGGATCAAGGTCCAAAGAAAGATAGAAAATCACATACATAAAAAACAATGACCGCCGCAGGGGTCGAACCTGCAATCTCCTGATTACGGGGCATCGTAGTCAGACGCGATGCCATTTCGCCAGGCAGCCGATGGCATCCAGCAATCGACATCCTCCGAATATGACACAAATGGGCCTATCGACAACGAGTTTAACTGCATTAAACATTCCGAATGAGAACCTCCATAACTCCAGGGTAGTTTATCGGACTCACAAGATATTTCTATCAAGTTTGTTCACGCTGCGAATGCCGTCGTGAGTACTTTGCTAGTCTGTATCCTGTATCATTTCAACGTCATACCACGGTCTCAGATACTACATCGACGAGCAGCTCGGGTAGGTGTGGTCTGTGAAGGGCTGGGCGCCACTCTCACAGCAAAGCGAATGGGTGACAATGCAGGTGTAACAGCACGATTAGAGTCACATCTCGCAATGCCAATGCGAACGAAGACCATATAGGAGGTGATAGATATTATTGATGTCATCTAATCACCTCGCGCCAGGGAGATGGAGGGAAGGTCAGATGTGAGAACCTGGACTGAAGATAGGAGTACGAACTATGTCGAGAAAAATGAACCGCGCAACGTTCTGGAAAACTTGGCATATAAGTAGAGAAAAGAGCGCGAGTGTGTATAGAGCGGTAGCATCTGTGACAACACGTAGCAACAATATGGTCTCGACCCCGGAATGAGAAAGTATCCGGATACCGTGTCCCGGTTCACTTTGATTCGTTTTCCAAATTCTGTGGGCCAGGAAAGCTATGTACCGCGCCATGTCACGCTGCTGACAGAACGAACAGATTTCAACACTCACCTGAACTTAGTGTATGTGTTATCATTGTCAACAGGTAGAACTGGACGGATAAAGAAGGACCAACAGAGTTAGTTCCAGTTAAATATGTCGATTGATAGAGAAACATTGTGGAGGCCGCTGGTGATGACCGTCAGTTCGTGGTGCGGGACGGTTAAACTTCACAACATACCGGCTGTACTACACCACAACACCACTGGTAGAATGACAATCCTTGAATATTGCCAAACCACACAACAGCGATACACCTGTTTGGATGTACCATGTACCGTGACTCTGAACTCTTCACGTGCATCACAAAAGAGACTTACCACAACCCCGTCAGCTAGCAACGTCTGGAAAATGTAGACAGCGCTTTTCACGATAAATGTTCTTTGCGTTGTATCGGCAAAGAAACCTGTCGGCCCTCCCGGGAAAGTCTCAGCTTTAGTGACAAACCCATCTATCAGCCGATAGACATCAACTGCAATATGCTTGATAGTGCGTTAATTCACCGAAGCGCACACAACCGGAGACTTACAACAGTGCTGCTAATTGTCAAAATAACGGCGACCAGCACCATTGACCAATTAATATCATCTTCAGAACGCCCGTGGGTTAGCGTCCACATGGTTCCGCAGAACAACATCAATGAGATACCTATCGCGCCAAGGTCGACTGTTAGTATCACTGAGAAACCGCAGGCGATGGAAGACTCGCCATAGAGTACACCTTCTATCGAAATCGAAAGTAGAGCAGCAAAGTCGAGTCCCGTTTCCAAAAGAGACACCATCTTGATGAGAGGTATTTGTGGTACCTACTGAGACAACTTAGAGTGGAACGAATGATTTTCCATCCATATAGCTGTGAAAAGGTTTAAGTACATTGCACCAAAGTGTGCGAACGGAACGGAGCGTGTTACGGTGCTGGAACAGTGCCGCTGGGCAGCGCCGAGAACCTGAGGACCGGTGATCAAGATGCATCGTTCGGGCACTCACCTTGAAATATCATTGGATGACAAAAGCAAATCTCGGTAAAACCCACGTTCATGCCTGCGGCATCATGCACATAATGAACACAGCATAAGTGCAGTGCTTCGAAACCTTGATCGTACACTGTTCGATTTGATGTCACTGGTAGCATAGTTCTCCACACTGCTGGCGTCCCACGCTACAGGATTCTATGTAGTCCACTCGAAGGAAACAGGTTGAAGTTGCTACCTGTAAAGAATGTCGTTACTTAAAAACATCATGCCAGAGCATCCAAATGCTTGCACTTCTACATCGGTTACCGAGTTGCGCTAATTCCAGAGGTTGACCGCCTCCATCGGAAAGTTCGAATGGGAATCAACTTGAAGGCTCGTGAGAACCGGCAATCAACGTTCAGAAACCTTACCTCCTACACTCACGGGACTTGATGCAACCGACAGTTGAATGGCACTACTCAGTGCGGTGCTCCGTCGCAGCTCCGATATCGCGACACAGCAACTTTGATAGTACGGAGCTGCCGTATTGGTCATGGTAATTGCCGGCTCTGCACTGCCACAAATGTCGTCATTGTTTTCCTCAGATAGCCCCTTTCGTGGGAAACCTGGGTATGGTCACCTCTTCAAGTTTTGTATACGCGACCATCACAGACTCGGACAAAGTCTATGATAACTTACTATGTGCGACGTAGCATCAAGGCACGCAACTTTCTACACCGAGACAGTCACGTTTCTCGTAAGTCCTTTCTTCGCACATCATTCTTGTCAGTGATATTGCATCAGGTGGAGAATTGTTTGTTCAAGGTTCGCGAGAGCCAGTTTGAGGCCGAGTCTATCGTCTTTCGGGATATGTTACAGTTCCTCCTCCCCACAGGTGAAGGGGACGAAGAGGGAGGAAAGCGTGATGACAACCCTGTTCATTTGATGGGAATCAAGAAAAATGAATTCGAGCAGCTCCTGAACGTTCTTTTGCATAGGTGAGTCAAATGCTTGTTGAACACTGTCCTCGCGGACGGCGGCTTACCATCGTCACTGATGAGCATTCACATGATGTCATACCCTCATATGCGACAGAACCTACGGCAAGTGCCAAAAAGTGCCGTCGGATATTGGCATCGTACAATGGACCTCCATTCTCAAGCTTGCCAACATCTGGAGGTTTGATGACATCCGCGAGGTTGCGCTTGATAACCTCAAGTGTAGGATGTCGCTGGCTGAGCAGGTCGCCCTCGGAGCGGCCTATAACCTAAACTTCGAGTCTTGGTCATTGCCCGCCATTCACGAGCTTGTGCGACGGCAGGAACCCATTACCTTTGAAGAAGGCCAGCGGATGGGTCTTGACATCACACTCAAACTTGCATACGTACGCGAACGTGTTATATGTCAGACTACCGATGGTTTCGGACGTCGACGTACTCACTCTGAGAAGCGTGATTTTACAAGAATCCTCCGCCAGACCTTCTAAATGTACCGCCGTCAGGTTGATTGTTCGACTCAAGGAGGGCATCAATATACGGACCATTACAAATGCACATTGGAGTTCCTGATGTGTGCAAGTAGTGTATGTACATGATGATGTATGGTATTTGAACTGATGACTATTTTTGCCTCATACGAGCTGTTGCTCGTCGCAGGAAGATCAACTATGCTATTCGCTTATTCCAATGGTACTTACGCTCTTCAATATCACAGACCTCGGCCGTAGCCAGCATATATACGTATAGGGGATGACTCGCTGGCTCGGATTCTCACTGATGTGCGGTCAATATCGAAGTCACCCGTGAGCGGTGCTAATGTATCAAAGCACATATCTTTCGACATCGACACAGGTTTCATGTAGGTAGTGTTCTATCCCTCGATTGTGTTGACAAGAATGTTTGAGGTTAAGGACAATACCAATGCAAAGTTTCACCCGCTGTGGGACATAGAGCTGATGTCCAGAACCTTCACTTCACAAGAGTCCTCCACGAAACCTTCAGGCTTCAAAACGTGCTAAACCTGACACAGTAATAACCAGAGTCCCATGGCACAACGACTAATAAGTGGGGCCATTTTCAATTGAAGTTACTGTACCCATAGTGCAGGCCGGGTACGAACAAAAGAGTGCACGATGCTGCTTTGAAATATTCTTCCATGCTAGAATAATAACTCCACATCCGATAGTAGGTTAAAGAATGCTTCTGAATTTCACATACAGATTGTCAATCAGTACTTCGAAGAGCCTGGACTCGGACACACTGCCTCTAGGTTTTTGCGTACGCGCGCTTGTAGAAACATTCAGAAATACGAGTTACCAGTGTCAGTACAAGGTATGAACAAGAAACGCACGGAAACACGTCCGTGTTGATTACATAGGGTACCGAGTCAAAAAGTCAGAAACCACCCCGTCCTGTACGAGTTCGCAGCCCATCACATCACATATTTCTTTCACCGCTTCTCCTTGAGCTTTAGCCACACCACACCGATCAACGTGATGGCGAAGCCAGCGACTGAACGCGAACAAGACCAGGACGTCTCTGTAGTAACTGTTGGGATCGAAACCAAACAGCTGGACAAAGTGACGGTGCGCGTCAGTGATCACAAAGGTCGAGCATGAGGGAGAACGCATACCGTCTCCATGATCAACAAGGCAGAGAGATTGATCGGGACGCCTTGCAACACGTCCTACGATCTTAAGCCCTGAGCCTACCTCATTTACGGAAAGTGCTTCAAGAGTATACTACATTGAAGACAGGGCATGAGCGTGAGCAAACGCGGACACTGATGTGTGCGATTGATCGTACCTTGAGGGGGCACAACCATTGCAACCATCGCAGTACGGGTGGAATGTTGGACAAATGAACGAAGAACCCGGCATAAGTCATCTGGTATAATGCCGTGAGAGCGGAGAGAAGGATCGCAATGCCACCGTTGTGGAAGAGCGTCGCGAGGAGGAAGTTCTGCGGGTGTCCATGTAAGGACTTGGTCGCATGGTTATGAAAAGATACACACGAAAAGCGTCATCACGAGTGTGTACAGGACAAGAACGAGCAAAAATTTGAAAAAGTGGGCTGCATCGTGAGCGAGCCCAGCCATCCAGTAGGTCCTAGCGAGAGACGTGTCAGTTCTCAGAGTTGCGGCTTGTCAGCTCGAATCAACAAACATTGTAGACACAACGATTGTCGGCAGAATGCGAAGTGGGACAACGTCAAAGAAGAGACGAGACAAAAGCCAGGCAGTCGGACTAGCGATTGGTATTAAGCTTTTGATTGTGATAAATATGAACGAAACAAACCTGTAATACGAGTTGGATCGTTCCCGAACAAACAGAGGTCTG